TATATATATATCAAAGTTTGATACATGCTAATATAAATTTTAAAAATCATATCAAGCCGATATCTTGATACCTTTCGCACTAATTGGCTAATCCAATAGATTTTGATCATTTATTTATGAATAATATAATCCCCATTTAAGATGTGATGTGTATAAAGTAAATTATAAATGTTAAAATTTCATTTGCAACATTCTTGATTGCTACGATCAAATATTTTGGGCAAAACTTCATATTTTAACCATCGACAAGCTGTAAAAAGTCGATCATTACCATAAAAGTACATCTTTTTAAACAATTACCATAAAAATATTTAACATGAAGTAAATTACAAAGTAGTAATGGATAGTTAAGGCCGGTAAATTTTGGACTTTACGATGTTTCCTTTCTTTCTTTCTTTTTTTTTTTTTGGAGTGAAATTCCTCAAAACATCCACAAAATTTAAAATATGGGTAAATGCCCCTTTATGTTGAAATGTTAGAAGAAAAAGGCCCTTTGGATTATATTTGCTCAAGTTAATTTCCATTCAGTTAAATAATAAAAACTATCTATATTTTAGCCTAGTTATTTCAATTTAATATTCTTATTGTACATTTTTTATAAATTTTGTTTTTGAGTAGCACCTTATCGTATTAGTGTATTTTTATTATTTGCACCTTATGATCTTTATTTTAGTTGCAAAACTATAAAAAGTTTCTTGTTAATTTACTCATGAGGATAAAATAGGGAAATATACAACTAAAATTATGAATAATTGAAAAGGTTCAAATATATCCCTATATTTCTTTCATTGTATCAGCCAAAACAAACAAAACTTTTCACGTGAAAAACTAATAGTGGAGAAGTATATTTGAGACAAAAGATAATGGTAGACCTTTCATGGTCCAAAAGGTAACTGGATAATAAATATAAGATAAATCGAATATTTCAGGGATAAAGTTAGGACGCAAATCAGTACAATGTAAATTAAAAAAAACTATATACATCAGAGTTTAAAACGCAAATCAGTGTTTAAAAGATTGTAAATATTGTTCATACCTCATATTTGTCTTTTTTGGTCTTGTAAAAAGGAAACAGATCCTGAATTTTGGATTATATTCACGTCAGTTGGTTAATTTTCAGACTTGCAATTGGACCATTTATTCTTTAAGATATTACTACTATTTATTATTTTCAACCGTAAAGTATGTATTTTAATATACATAGTAAANCAACAAGATATTTTCCCCATTATTGGATTAATTTCATTGCCACCATAAGTAAGAACAACAGTGGTTGCTTGTTCACTGAGTATTGTTTGCACTTCTTTTGGCTAAAGACTTGTAGAAAAATAATTGATAATCTTGAGGTTGGATGCACAACTATTGAACCATAATTTTTGTAAATATTTTGTAGTTTTTTATATTTCTTTGTTATTTTTTCATTCAGGAACGATAAGCATGATTCAGGTGATAGGTTGGACTCTTCTTTTAAGATAGAAAACTTTTCTTTTCTAATTTGTTGAAAACAATTCCTAAAGTATATTTTATTGATTAATGAAATTAGAATATTGTGCATTTTGCTCACGAGAAAAAAAGACTGCTTCCATTATTAACTAACACCATTTAAGTGTTTATGCCTTCTAGAATAAAGTGCGACCATAAACTCCAAGGTGATGGGGTATTGCCTTAAGAATATGCCTTTTCCAAAAAAAAAACGAAAAAAACTCTTAAATATTCAAGAGCTATGTGTTTTTTTTGCCCATGATGACTTTTGAAATTGAAGTAAGCAATTATAAAACTGGNCCCCCCCCCCACACACACATATATATAAAATACTTATTTAATTTTAATTAAAATTTAAAAATTATCTTATTAAACTACTAGAAATTTGGCCAAAATCGACCGCGTTCAATTTTGTTTTTTTTAACCGACAAACTTCGGGCGTTTTTTTGGGCGCAAAAGGAAACTATTTTGGCATCCCGCAAAATTTATTTTTTAAGAACCAACCAACTTTGGTCAGTTTTTCATGTAAAATAAATTAAAATTAATATTTAAAAAACCGATCGAAATCTTTCGATTATTTTTGTCGGTCATTTTAAAAATCGACCTACTTCGATCGGTAATTTTATATTTTTAGTAAAATCAACCGAAATCGGTCAGTTATTTTCGCGCGAAAATGCAATGAAAGAGTACAAATAAAATAAAAAGTCTTAAACCAAAATATACCAATGGTTTAGTGATATAATAATATCCTGCCACAATACAAACCCCGGATCGATTTTCTTACGGTACATTTTTTAATTACATAATTAAAAATACAGATCGACATCGGTCGGTTTTTTCTTTTTTGGTCATTTATAAAATTTAATTGACCGATCGAAATCGGTCGAAAATTACGACCGACTTCGGTCGCTATTTATTACCGATTAGTCTAATTTCGACGGATTAAAGTCGGTCGAAAACCGATAAGTTTTTCTAATTTTTTGACCGATTTCGATCGGTATTTCTGGACGATTTTTCACAGTATTCTAGTAGTGCTATGTAATTACTATCATTGCCTTCATTTTATCTATTAGCAATGATAGATTGCATTCGTTTTCCTTTTAATATATCGAATCCACTTTGGATGTGTGTGTTTTCTTTTATTTGGGGGGGG